GGCATAGAGATCCATAAGATGTCAAGGCAAATGCACTCCCAGGTATTTTACCGAAGTAGAGTTCCACATAAAAGGAAAGTTTGCTTTGCATTGGTCTACCAGGGCTAGGGCGAGAGAGATGTTCAATGCAGAGGATTTAGAAAAGTTAATTTTAAAATTGGAAAGCGAGCGGAATTCATCAAAGGCAGTTAACAGAATGGTGTCACCAAACATCGTGGAGGTTCAAGAGAGAGTTCTGTGTTAGTGAGGCGCAGAGTGTGAAAAGGCAAAGAAGAATGGCCAAGGGAAGATAGGGGCACATTAACCCCTTCATGACTGAGCTTGTTTTTAGTTTCTGTTCGTAAATGACTGACACACTTTTTGCTGTGTGATTCTTCCACAGCAAAAGTGCACCCACACATATTATATATCGTTTTTTAGAGGACAGATAGGGCTGCATATTTATATCACATATGTGTGTCTAACGCCTCACTTAGGACAAATAAAATATAAAAAAGAGGAAAAAAACGTTTAAAAAAACACTTTTTTCCCAGTTTTGATTTGTAGTATTTTTTTTACAAAACCAGCACAGCTAAAAAAATGTGCAATAAATACATTCATTTATTTGTCCCTTATTTTATTTTATTTTTTACACATTTTTTTTTTTTTTACACTTTTCACAATTTTATTTTTTTTTTTTACACTTTTCACTTTTTTTAAAACTTAAAAATGTTATTTTATTTATTTAATTATATCAAGCAGTCGTGAATTAATCTCACTGTTACTGCTTGATAAATTAATACATTTTTGATTATTATCAGGCTGCTTCAAACTTCAGAACAGCCAATAATAAGTTAGTGACACTGATCCTGCAGCAGTTCAGGATTCAGCTGTCACTAAAGGTTTTCTGATTGTTGCAACAACGATCAGCAAACAAACATTCTTCTTTCAGGAATAGATACATTATAGGAATAGACACATTATGTATCTATTCATGAAAGAAGAAAAAAAAAAGCCAGTATAGCTTGAGAGAGATATCTCTCTCGATCTATACGAGCTGTCAGAATGCCGGCAAAAGCCGGCATCTGTGTCCCTCTGCTTTGACTCTCAGACACCCGATATTAAGGTATCGGGTGTCTGAAAAAGGTTAACCCTTTCATTAATGAATGCCTCTGTAGTAAGGGCATCCATTAATGAATGTTAAAAGCTGATTCTCAGCGGTTAACAGCCCTCTAAAGCAGCAAATAACTCGTCACGTACGGTGTACGTGACAAGTCATTTGGTCCCTTTGTGGCTGGACGTACAGTGTACGTCTCCCGTCACGAAGGGGTTAAAGTCTCCGCCAAGAATCAGCAGTCCATGAGCAAAGTCTCGTAAGATTAGGTGGCAGTATTGGGGCAGTATATGTTAGCCAGTGTAACAGGGCGGCTCTCGACCAAACGCTTAAGAAACAGGAAGCGGTTCTCGGAGTCTACCATCTGATCGGTCAGGTCCAAAGGCGCATTGCGCGAGAACAGGATAGAGCCCCTCTTAGACTTCTGCATTGTTGTGGACGCATTATATAAAGTAGGGTAGCGGAGGTTAGAGAGTTTTGGGATAGCATCAGATCTAAAATGCGTTTCTTGTATGAAGACGATATGTGCCCTTTGCCTATGAATGTAGGCGTAACTGTTTTTGAAGTATGTTGAGGCCTTTGGCGTTGATGGAAAGGAATTTCCAAGGGGGAGGTGCATGCGGGGAGCCAAATAATGGCATAGTTAAAACAGGCTGGGAATACCGTGTAATCAGAAGGCAGGGAGGAGGGTCTAAATTAGCGCAGACGACCCCCAATCCACCTATCGAGCGGGGGTGGGCAAAAAGGGAGGCTAGAGACCAAAAGAAAGGAAAAAGGTGTAAGAGAGCCTAGCAGGAACAGAGAGGGAGAAAGAAAAAGAGGGAGCTAAGCAGGACATGAGAAAGGAAACTCCAGATGTGGCAGGAGTCCTACCACAATTATTCCATGCTACTTTTAGCCACATTGTTCTTCAGGCGTTCCTCTGAATTGTAAGCTCCTTCTTTTATAATTCCCATTTGGGGTTAGTTGTTTTCATGGGCCTGTTACCGTCACGCAGCTGGGCGGATCCCGTCATCTACGTCGGGATCTGCTGCGGCGTCTCAGTATACCGTGAGCTGTAGCTCGCGGTATACTGAGCTTAGGGTAACGGGAGGACGCTAGTTTGTGTCCTCCCGTTACCCTAAGAAGAACTATGGGGAAAAACACTGACCCCATAGTTCTCCTTTAATATAGCTTAACTATGCAAGCATTCACCCCAGACTCCGGGATCATCCAAAGACCTACTTCCAGGAAGACAGGATAATTATCCAGCCCTCCCCAGAGTTTTCATGCAGTGGAGCCACAGATGCACACTAGGACTGTCTCGAGTCCTGCTATCTATAACATAACCATGTTAATTTATTTACTATTTGTTCTTCGTTTATTTATTGTTCTTCTAGTTCATTTTATAAAGAAAAATGAATGTAAACCCTAATAATAGTCTATCACCCAAGTGAGGTAAAATAAATAAAGTGCCATAGCGCTTACTGTTACTTATTTGTTTCCTCCTATTTGTGTAACTCTTATGATTACTTATTTATTTGCCCCTTATTTATAGTTGTGTTTTCTAGAACTACTCCACGATAATAAGGTCAAAAATTATCCGCACTCTGGTTATATTAAAGCTTCTGTTGGCCGCGTCTTATCAGCGCTTTCCATTCAAGGCTACTTTCTCCCCAGTTACTGCTGTGCAGGTGTGAACATGTTACCTCAGTTAATTAGTAACGGTGGAAGAAAACATATGGATGGATAGAGAAGTTCAAGGAAGGTCGCACAAGTGTTAGCCATCAAGAAGGAGTCGGACGGACGTCCACGTCTGATGACAACATTGAGCGTACACATGAAATGATTCTATCGAATAAACGAGTGACAGTGGATTATGTGGCAAATCAGCCATGGCTCGATCAAGATTCACCTCTGATGAAGAAGTGAAGACAGCAGTGCGTTTGTGGCTCGCAGCTCAGCCTAAAACATTTTTTAATGAGAGAATACGAAAGCTTGTTGACAGATGGACAAAGTGTATTGGAAAGCAAGAAGATTATGTTGAGAAATTATGTATTTGTCTTTTCTAAAAGTTGATTTTTAAAAATTCTACAGCCAGAGTGCGGATAATTTTTGACTCTCCCTCGTAGTAGAAACTTTCACTCGGCCTTGTTCCTGTTTGACAGATTTGTAGCTTTTTTTTATCAGAAAATAAAGCACCTTTGAGTTAGTTCTGGAGACCAGTTTTCCATGTTTCCAGTACACCAGCTAGCTTTTTAATCCTTTAAAAATGGGGCAGACTTTCTGTTGAATAGGCTACCAAAAGGGCTGGATGGAGAAATGCAACAGGGAACAACTGTTCCGACTGTAAAAGTGGGATTATCCTAAAGTTAGGATTGATTTTTCTGACAGTAAATTAAAAAACAAAATGACAGTTTATAAACTTTCCCCGCCCTGTCCAAACCTAAAGAAATGTTTAGGTGGATTTTACTTTAAGACCAACCTTGGTTTGACAAATGCTAAGTATGACACCCTGAACAGAGGTAGGCATGCTACAAGCACATTATAAGTAGCTTTATAAGTATACATTGTGTATATGTATTAGGGATGCACCGATATATTGGCCGCCGAAACATATCGGCCAAAAATGGCACTTTTGGCTAAATGCCGAAAGTGCAATTTTTCTGCCGATATAGCGGCGCATCCCTGCTTTCTTTCCTTCCCGCTGGGCGCTGCTCTGTGTCCCAGTGGGGAGGAGAGAAACTGTCACAAGTGGCCGAGCGCTGTGAGCGGTCGGCATCTCTCCTCCCCGCAACGCTCAGCCTCCTGTCACAGATGAGCAGAACGGTGTGGGCGGAGACAGCCAGCGCTGTCACAGGAGGCTGAGCTTTCCTCCCGCACCTCTCGCTCAGCCTCCTGTGACAGTTGTCGAGATGACAGCTGTCGCTGAGTGTTTGTAAATAATTGAGGACATAGTATTGTTACTATATCCTCAATTATGAATGAATGGAAAGTGATCTACATCACCCCCTGTTCATTGATGATTGTGGATGTAGTAAACATACTATACCCACATGTTATAAATGAACAGGAACACTCAGTATAGATGATTCCTGTTCATTTATAACAGGGGCTGCAGAAAAAGAGATTGAGGGCTGTGTTCTCCATCTCTTTTTCTATTTTAAAAGGGAAATATCAGGGGTCTATTTAGACCCCTAATAGTTCCCCGAAGCACATAAAAGGAAAGTAAAAAATAAAAATTATTTACAAGTTTATAAAAAAAATATATATTTTTTTTAAATTTGAAAAAGTTAGAGAAAAACATTTCAGTTTCGGGCCTACATTTTTTTTCGGTTTCGTTTTTGGTTTTAAAATTTTCCTTTTTGGTGCACCTATAATGTATATAAACCCGAGCAAAAAAAACGTCTCTTATTTGTTCTCTTTTTGGATTAAAAAATATACCATTGATAGTATTTTAGTAAATCTGTTTGATAAGTGCAAAGAAAAAATCCTGTTACTCCTGCCAGAAATCCAGTCTTATGAGCTTTGCAGTGTGCTCTCAAGCAGTCTTGTGGGCCTTGCCCAGGTTGAACTCAAAAACACCACATGGGACTGTTGTCTCCCTAGGACAGGAAGGTTTTTACTGGCAGGATCACAGGTTAAAATAAAGGGGGAAAAGTCTGATGAAAGAATACCAATGCAGCCACCACATCTAAGAACTAGTAAGCTATTTAATATATATCATTTTTAGAAATGCTTTAAAAAGCTGGATTTTATTTTCAGATTGCGATTTCATTCTTTACCACAAGGTGGTAGTGTGGGCATGTGTACGGTTTTATTCTTTATTTCAGTAGTTGAAACCAGGTATTCATTTAGCAGCATTGCTACACATAATAACTATGAATAAAGCCATAACAACAACCTTTTCTTTTTTTTTTGTCGGCAGTATGACTACAGTTTCAGAACAGAACAAAGTGCTGCGGCCCGTCTGCCCCCCAGTCCTGCCCGCTGCCAGCAGATACCCCCACCATGAGAAAGAGAGACACAGAAAACGGATTTGGCACTCACAAATACTACTGAGCAGAACCCATTGCTGCTGACCCTGACTTCTAACTCTTAACCTGACGGTAGAAATGAAGAGTTGGTGGATTTTTTTCTAACAGAATCAGTTTTTTTTGTATTGATATTTTGTAAATATAACTATTAAAAAAAGAAAAAAATACTTATGGAGTTGTATTACCAGTTGTGGGCCTGTCCTGGCTCAGCACCTACAGTGTTACCCAGTAGTATGTCTGCACACTTCCAGTCTCTATAGGGGTGCCACAATGAGCATGTCTGAGATTAACATTGTAGCGTTTTGTGACTTTTGGACATAATATCTGTGCATTTAAAGGTCCTGTTCATTGTTACACAAGTGAGCTTCTTGAATGATACACATTTCAATAACCTTTAGCAATCTGAAGCGCTGTTTGTAGCCAAAATGACCACATAACTTAATACCTTATATACTTTATATATTTAATGATTTTATTGCATTTTCATTATTGTCATTTATGGCATTCATTGTCCTCAACATGCCATACATGCCAGCTTAGTAGTTCTAAAAGTACAGGGTTACTAAAAAAAAAAACCCAGCCTACCCTCCCTATCCCCATAACTTAATGTGAGATAGACATCAAACCCCTTCCCCTGGGGGCTTACTTGACTTTCCATGACAACGCCGGCCCCCACCAAGCTTTACAGCCTTGGGCTCAAAATCTTCTCTGGTGCTGACCCCACCTGAACCATAACTCCCCATAGGAATGAATAGGGCCGTATTTGGATTGCTTTGTTAAAAATCTCTGCTGACCTGCAAACTTTTCAGCAGATTTTTCCTTTAAAGAAGAACTCTGGGCAGAAGAAAACTTAACCCTTGCAGTGGGGCTTTAGTGCTCGTCTTCATCTAGGGAGTAAAATAAAGATATACGCACCCGAACCTCAGTCCCACCTGACTGCTAGACCGGTTCCCGCAACCTCTCTCCCCCCTCCGCTCAGGTGATGGTATGTCCCTCAGTGTCCTCACATCCAATGCACTGCATTGGATGTGATGACTCATGGGTTCTTAGACCACCAAAGTGAAGGGAGAGGGGGCTGCCCTATCTGATACATTTATTAGTGTGGACTCATGTCTTCCTTAACGCTTTTATAACCAGGATCCCCTTTAGTATAGAGTAAAAATGTAGAGTGTTGGAGAATAGTAAAATAGAACCCTAAAGGCAAAAGGATATAAACTAGGACAAAGCCACATAACAATTCAATGTAACAAATTTAATTTTGCTATTTTCTTATAGTCTAAAAACCAGTTGGAGATAAAGTGGTAAATTACACAAATCAAAAAGAACCCTAACCCATAAAAACATATATACCTCTGAATGAGTTTCCCGCTCGCTATATATGACAATAAAAAAAGTACTGAGATTTCACATGATATCAACCACTTTAAGGGACTTAGGTCTCAACTCATTATGAATGCATGATCATTAACAACCATCCCAATCTGTCATTGCAATCTAGTGGCAGCAAAACACAGATGATACAGTGAATCTAATATCAATATCTAATATGATCGAATAAAAATAATGCAACGTAAGTGTATACAAAGACAATGCAGCAACAGGTGTAATACCATTAAGGAAGAAAAAAAAATCAAATGTAAAGAAAAACAAAGTTCCCGAACACTGCAGGATAGCTACCCTACAAAGCTGAATACAAATAAAGGGTGGTGTGTCCCAGACAGTAATTTCCTCATCCTCTCCCAAGGTATTGGATTCCTGCCATGATACGAGTAAAGCACACTACTTCTCTGATACACTTTTATTTGTTTGGGATACACTGCCCCTTATATCTTTTCAGTATCATAGGTTAGTGTTTTGCATAGTATTCAGTAATTTTGTGGCTGTTACATTTTAATATTTTCTTCCTTTAAGGCCTTGTTCACACCAAGCGCAGAGCAGGTGCAGACCGGATCAAAACTGCGTCCAATGCATTACAATGGTATTTTTTGCTCCAGTTCACGTCACAGCATGCAGTTCCGGAGTAGGTCCAGAGCAGGTGAAAAAACTGCAGCAAGCCCTATTTAACTGCTGTGGATCTGCTCTGGAACACATGCAAGCACATCAAAAACGCATGCAAATGCCTGGAACGCACTGGAAGCCCATGTTAAACTAAAACAAATTATTTTTTTTTACCAAAAACGACCCGGAACGCATCAAAAACGCAGCACAACCCACTGCACTGCGTGTGCGGAAACCTGAGCGGATCTGCTCTGCATTTGGTGTGAACAAGGCCTAAATCTGAACTTAAGGCAAACAGCTAAATTTGTATTTCTGTTCATCCAGTCCAGAGATTACACAGCTCTGCCCCACACTGCAGCCCTATCTAGCATGAAGGAGGGCCTGATCTTTCCTTGCAGTAGTTTCACTTGCCGGTCTCCACTCCACCTTGTGAAAGGAGAAGCAGTATGCCGATGAGCTCATCTCTCTGTCATTCTGCTGTCTCCACCTATCAACTTGCTCATTGCACTACAACACACCTAACTGGCACCTTGTGCTGCTTCTCCCTGCCCTCTCTGAGCTCTGCTGTACAGACTGTATAGTAGACTCTAAGCGGCAAACACCCAAGTCAAATTCAGATACTTACACTGCTTGCATTAAAAAATGTATTCAATGATGTGTTAATGATTACAGAGCTGCGTTAATGTGTGCCTCTTATATCTGCCCAGAGCTCAACTTTAATTATTACACCTGTTGTTGCTGCATTGTCTTTTTAATCACTGCTTTGCAATGTTTTAATATTGTATAGATATTAGATTCTTTGTAATGTCATCTATGTGTTGCTACCACTAGAATGGGAACTGGGTCTTTCAATATGGATATGAGTGAAATCCCCTATGGAATACTGTAAAGGTTGTCATACATAGAGTGTGATGAGGTGAAGAATGCATTCTGCGGGATATACTGTATATGTTTTTAGGGGTTAGGGTTCTTTTTAAACTGTGTAATTTGTCACTTTGTCTCCAGCTGGTTTTCAGACTATAATACAATTACATTTGTTAAGATAAACTGTGGTGTGGATCCGTGTTTGGATTCTTTTGCCTTTAACGTTCTGTTCAGTGATGTTTTTGGGATCCAGCCAGCACACTGAATAGTGTGTAATACATCACGTTCTTCAAACTGTTGGGGAAATTGTTCTCCTCAGTATTTGAACAAGGCTGCTGAATACTGCTAAGGAGTGTCAGAGTTTAGATTGCCTGGTTCCACCAGAAAATCACTCTCCAAAACCTTTAGTTTAGATCATATGACTGCCACCAATAAGTAACTGAATTCTCTGGATGTCAGAGGAAAGATAGGTATTCTGGAAATGCCTTTACATTTTCTAAAGGAGAGTATAGCATTTGGATGAATGGACTTTTGTTTTAAAGCAAATTGTCATAAAGACCCAGTGGCCTATAATTGCACGAGCTTTGATAAAGAGATTCAATAGATCATTTAGAGCTAATGAGGTGTCTTTGGTGCACACTAGGAAGTGTATGTAGTAGCAAACAAAATTCTCAACAGCAATTCTCACCAGTGAGCTTTCTCTATGGTAAGTGGGCTGTTCTAATTTTCAATTGTTATGTCCACTTAAAAGATGGTAGCTCCATGTATGACACATGAGAAAAAGGGGGGTGTAGGTGTGTGTATATGTATAGATTTATACAAAGCAACCAAGTCCACTGAAATGTTCTTTCTCACATACATTCAGTCTATTTGTACTTTCTTAATGTGTACTAAATAATATCTTCTTCCAAGAGTTATAGTTTCCACCACTGGTGGGGGTCACTTCCTGTTGTTACTAACTGCTGATATTCAAATGTAGCTTTTATGGAAGCTGTAACTCAGGATAATGGGACTAATACAGAAAGATTGAATGTAAGGAAGGAATGAGGTGTTGCCCATAGCATCAAATCTGACATTGTTTTCTACTGTAGGTTAGGCAATGAAAGTTAACAGCTGATTAGATCCTATAGACAATGTTCGTACCTAGCCGTCCACACATGTGATATATGGTATGTAACAGGAATTTTATATGTATTTACAGGAATTTTATATATAAGCATTTTGAGCTTTTCAGGTTATAAAAAAGCCAGCAACCCTACATTCATTATGCATGTATAATTAAAAAAAATAGAACTTCAATAAGCATCATTTGTATCAGCAGCAAACAATAGCAGTGAGTTTGTTTTAGAAACATTACAATAGCGTCTTAGCTTTAAAAAAAAAAAAAAAAAACCTTAGTGTATGTAAAGCATAACTATGAACTTCTCTTATTTGCTTCCTTTTGGTCTGTTATATATACTATTGAAAGCATTCTGTTATATCTGTTGCAAAAGTGCAAAAATACATTTCAAAAATTCACAGCTGACCTCTGTCCTCTGCAGATGTCCTGTGTTATCTTAAAGTGTCTGTTAGACCCTCCTAGTGGTTATATTAGGCTAAAGGTTTTTAGCCTTTATGTTGTAGAGATCTGAGAGTGGGAATGGTTGAACACTTAGTACACAAAATTGGTGTGAGTTTACAGCCCACATAATGGCTTAAGAGCTAAGTGCATTTCTGGCAGATTACTGGATCAACAGGATTTTTTTATGTACTTGATAGTCTTTGAACTAGGGATAAAACATGGGGAAATGTGAATGTATTGCAGAAACATACACTCTAAGGTCCAAGTCCAGCATTCTGGGTCTACCCCACCCATTTTTGTTATCCTGCTGTCTTTATTGCTGTTAGGTGACATCATAGGTCCTATTCCTCCAGCAGCTGGAGGTTCCTCAAAGCTGCAGGTGACAATACAACACCAATTATATGGTCCCATTCTTGAGACTGTTCTCTTGTGAGCCCACGGCAGCTTGTTGATGTGTCCTTGATGCCCTGCTCTCACAGTAAGTGGGTCAATGCTGAGTGTGAGTCCGCGGGTGTAAATCACTAAAGATATTGCAGCAGGAGCTACTTTTTTTATTCTTTAAGACCTGCAGAGCTATGCATTTTTTATTTAATGTGGCCTTGGTTTTTATATTTTATGGGATTCAGGGCCCATTCACACCACATCCAGATTACCTCCAGACCAGACTAGACTGTTTCCGGACCCAAAATGTATCCCTATGCTTTTTCTGGCCTCTGTTCCCACCAGCGCAGTCCGTTCCAGACCAGACCGGAAAAATACTGCATGTCTTTTTTTGTCTGGTCTGGATGCACTGGAACAACTTCAAATACAGATGTCACCAGCACACCGAGACTCTCAACTCAGTGCAAATCCATT